AATGAACCAGCTAGAAGGCATTGTCATTCATATCCAACTTCGGAAGATGTCAGAAGGGGCTTCTCCATTGTACATGAGGGACTTCTGAAGTGGTGAGGAACAGCAAAAAAGTGGTCTCTCTGATAGCCCCACCCCCTATCGATGAAACCCTCCTCTGTTAAGATTTGACAATGCAAGTTATTTATATTTTTAACTGTCCTGCTTCTAGAAGTTTCCCAAATTTGTTTTGGTCTATGACCCCTTAAAAAACTGAATAAGCAGGGCTGGAGCAATAGCACGGTGGGTAGAGCATTTGCCTTGCATATGGCCGACCCAGGTTCGATTCCCAGCATCCCATAGGGTATCCCCGAACACTGCCAGGAGTAATTCCTGAGTGCATAAGCCAGGAGTAACCCTTGTGCATCGCCAGGTATAACCCAAAAAGCTAAAAAAAAAAAAACCTGAATAAGCAATCCCCTCTGGAAATTGCCTTCTAAGGGAACAAACAGAAAGTGTCCGCCAATTGCACCCAAAGTTATTACCAGTCTCCTCCCAACCCCCCAGCGACATTTCCAGCATCTCATGGGGGTGCTGTACTGCCCATCTTGGGAAAGACTGCTCCAGAGAATAAAAAAGCAGGAAGGAGCAATGCAAGAACCTAACGCTTGCCCATATACGTATCTGCCCTAGTTTCAAGATGCCAATCCTTCCACAATGCCAGCCACATCAGACTCCAAGTGCCCTGAAAGCATATCACACTACTTGTTGGGGACCCAGCAGAGGAAAGAATAAAAGGGAGCTAGAGTCTCAGAAGCAGGCATTGGCAAGAACTTGGTTACTCAAGCTGCCACACCGGATTGTGACTGACCCAAAGACGAAAGCACCAATAGGAACGTGGCAAGAAGCAGCCTCTGAAGGAGCAGGGGCCACATATCACTCTGTCCCCCAAGCCACTGCATGTATACCTTTTGGGGCATGGGCAAAGGCAAGTGGGATGGATGTGAGCAGAAGGAAGGGAGTAAAAGCCCTCCTTTTGATCTGGAGGATGTGACAATTACTATATATAGTACTAGTAAATAGTCTCACTATTCTTTTCTCTCTGTGGATGTGAGTTGCAGTGTAAAAAGCACTTCCTTTTTGGGGCTGGAGAGATACAACAATGGGCAGAGAGCTTACCTTGCCTGCAGCTGATATGGGTTCAATCCCAGCACCCATACGGCCTTCCCAAACACTGCCAGGAGTGATCCCTGAGTGCAGAGCCAGGAGTAAGACCTGAGTGCAGCCAGGTGTGACACCAAAACAAAACAAACAAAAAGCACTTCCTTTTCTTTGACTACAGAAGCATCCCACAGATTCAAGTTGAAAGCAAATGTACATCATAAACAAAACACGTGGACTTAGCATTGCATTTTTTTCTCATTGTGAAAAAAATAAAACCTATGGGATCCCTCCAGTTTCATCTACATTCTCAGTCTTATCCCAGGAAAGGAAAACTTCACACACCCCAAACCTGCTATCGCAATGTGACTCAGTTTCCCTTAGGAGGAAGCCATTACAAGTGCAGCCTCCCTTCACGTTCTGGGAAAATCAGCATACATTTACTTTTCAAATACAAAACCTCCAATTTCCAAAAGAACTAGCCAGAAAGGCTGAATTTCTTTCTGCTCAGAACATCAGGGTTCTTTCCTACATTCTCTCCTTAACCAGGTAGAGCCAAAAAGTGAGCTGAGGGTTTGCTAAGTCAAAATTATCCATATATTGGGGTTGGAGACATAGTACAATGGGTAGGGCATTTGCCTTGCACACGGCCAACCCAGGTATGAGTCCCAGCACTCCATATGGTCCCCAGAGCAACGCCAGGAATAATTCCTGAATGCAAAGCTAGGAATAACCCCTGTGCATCACCGAATGTGACCCAAAAAGCAAAAAAAATAAAAATTAATCTATATAGTGGAGTCTGGGGACAGGACTCTTAAGAAGGCCAGGGTTCAATCCCTGGCACCACACTGTCCCCTGAGAAATGCCAAGGGTGACCCCCAAACACTGCAAGGAGCAGCCCCCAAGTACCACAAGGTAAAATTATCCACTTCAGGAAGCAGCCCCCCGAGTACCATAAAGTAAAATTATCCACACCTTAAGAGGCATGTTCTTGTAAATAAATAATAAATGAACCAAGCAGTCTTGTCTATAAATTGGGGGAGAGGGAGAAGAGAGGAGGAAATGAAAAGGATACAAATGTGCAAGCAGCCAGGTTGTGGAAGGGTTTGAGTTCCCTCGCTCAAGGACGGCCAGATCTGATAGGGCTGCGGATAAGACAGAGCAGCTTCACTTTACTGCCCTTGCCCGGGTCTCAACTTTAAAACCATAGGCCCCAACATGAGAGAAGACCCTGCTCAGAGCTTGGAGGGTGACTGTCACCGAAGTGCTGGCTGGACCTGGTCTACCAGAGAAAGTTCTGCGGGGAAGAACTCAGAGACATCTGCACACAGAGTGCTGCTAGGCACCTTTCTGACGCGAACTATTTTTCTTGTTGCTTTTAGGGAGTTTGGTTGTTGATGGGGGGTTTCTGGGCTTTGGGGGAAAGTTGTTTGTTGTTTGATAGGACGAATGCCACATCCAGTGGTGTTCAGGGAGGTACTCCCAGATCAGTGCTCAGGAATCATTCCCAGGGGGACTTCGTCCTTGGTGCTCAGAGGACCCTGCCATGGTGGGAATGAAACCCAGGCCCCCTGCATACAAAGCACGTACTCTAGCTTATTGAGCCATCCATCTCCTCAGTCCTCAAAATTACTTTTCACACCACCCCCTGAGCTTACCCTGTCCCAAGAGCTGGCATCTCTCCCTTCCTGGCAAAATGACACCTTTTCTTTTAAAAGCAACATGTAAACCCCTTACAAGTGAAGCAAACATCGCTTAATGCTCCCTGATTCAATGAACATCTCCCATTCAAGGACCTGACGCTTGAACATGTTGTAAACGTGAAAGGCATGCTCTACTCAGTCTGAAGAGGAAGTCGGGGGGGATTTCTTTTTCCCATCTTACAGTATATTGGAGGAAGAGCCCATGGAACAGTCCCCTCCTTCCATTTAGGGGCACGGAGGTCAAAAGTCCATATCATCATTCTCAGCTCTGAGAATAGAATCATTCTCAGCTGGGGATAGGAGCCCTGGGTCTGCGAGATGGAGCCATTACAAGCCTTGTTTACTTAGAGGGAAAGGTCCCACAAAGAAGAGGTGCTCTCTGGTCTAGCACCTGCGTGGGGCTTCTGCTACGAATAGTTTAAGAGCCTTCATTTGCTCCTGCTACCCCTGATTCAAAATGGAATCATCCTCAATCCTTAGTAAAGTCAACGCTAAATCCATTGTCATTTCCCTCCAAGAACCAGATACCTAAGTTAGTCCAGCTCTCACGGTGGCCAGTAACTCCTTTCTGTGCCCCACAGAGAAAGACTCTGGGAGGAGGACCCAGCGCATCTCAGCCCACCCTATTAGGCCTCCAGGGCAAAGTGTCCTGGTAGCCCACCCACCTCAACCACTGGTATCACAAGTAAATTCAAGGGACATGCAGGACCCTCATCCCCTCCAGCAAGGCTTTCTGTCTCCACAGGCAAACAGATGTAGCTCTGCTATGCAATCAAGTGTGCATAGGGGGAGGAGAAGGGGTGCCCAACTGGCAAAGGGCTGTCCTTTACAGTGTGTGTGTGTGTGGGGGGGGGGGGGGGTGCGTAAGGGAGGCCACCGCAGCCCTGCACAGGAGGAAAGGAGGAAAGCCAGGGGCTATGCATAAGCCAGCATGGGGATGGCTGAAAGCACCAGGTTTCCAAAGATGCAAGGTCGGGGCCAAATGACCGGGACTCCTAGAGAGATCCATCACTCTTAGGGCATCAACCGGTTCTCCTATGGACACCACCCCCCCACCCCTCCCTGATTACAGCTCCCCATGACCCAAGTCTGAAGCCAGAAATCCCACCGCGTTACCACTAGGGTGCTGAGAACACAGGAGAATTCGTGAGCAGAACCCCCAAGGTTACCCTGGCTGGCGCTCCCGGAGCTCCTGTTCTCCTCCTGGGAGGGTGAGAGGCGGCATGAGAACAACCTGCCAGCCGCAAGTCCCGTACTTGAGGCAACCAAATAAATACCCCCGGAAAGCGCGGAGCCAGACGGAGACCAGGTCCCGGGAGGAAAGGAAAGGGGTCAGTCTGACTGGGCACAGAAAGAGGGGAAGGAAGTGGCCTGGGATAGAGGCGCCGGCTCCCTGCCCTTGCCTGGAGCGGGGTTTGTAACGGTTCCCGGCCGGCCTTGCAGCAGCACCCCTCCAGGAGCGCGATCGGGGAGCCAGGAGACGGGGCTGGGGACCCGGGCACGGCCCCTGGCATAGCTCCAAGAGCGGAGGACAGCCTAAGGGTGCAGACACCCCCCTCCGCCCACCCACCCGCTTTTTGTTCCCAGGCCCCCGGAGGGGAAGCCGGCAGAGCCATCTGGGCAGGGCTCCTTCCCCAAGTGGGAAGTCCCGAGTCTCCAACTCCAGGAGGGTCGTTCGTTGGTCCCCGCGCCCAAGACCTGGCTCCCCGTCACCCGCGCCCCCCACCCCCGCCGCTTCCACCCAGCCTGGCACCCCCCCCCCCACCTCCGCCCGCCAGAGGTGGCCTGGGGGTGGAGATGGGGGCAAGAAGCAAGCAAGGTGCCAACCCCCCCGCTGCCCCGGACCCCTGCCCCTCACCTCTCCCCGATGCCCCCTTTGTCTCGGGGCGGGGAAAGTTGCCAAGCGGCACCCCTTCCCCAACACGCCCCCCTGGGCGCCCACCCGGGAATCCGAGCCCGGGCGCACGAGCTCCTCCGCGGCTGGGCTGCGAAAGCGAAAGCAGAGAGGAAGCGGGAGCGGGCAGCGCGCCCCCAGAGCCGCCCGATCGTCCCCCCCCCCCCCGCCCCATCCCCACGGCGCGCCGCGCTGCCAGCCCCGCACAGGCCCCCGCGTCCCCGGGCGGCGGCGGCGAGGCCTGCGCAGCGCACGGCGGGACCTACCGCTGCGGAGCCGGGCCGGCGGGCGGCCGGGGGCCGGGCAGGTGCGGCCGGGAGCGCCGCGTCTCCCCCGCGCTCGCTCCCGCGCCGCCGCCGCCGCCTCCTCCCGCGCCGGGACTCGGGGCGCTCGCCCGCGCCGCCCGCTCCCCGCCCCCACGCCGGGCGCTCGGGCTCCCCCCGCGCACACTCGTCGGCCTGGCCTTTCCCCCCCGCCCCACTCCACCCCCCCGCCCCCCCCCCACCGCCGCCGCCTGCCCTCCCGAGCCCAGCCTCGTCCCGCACTGTGCGCCGGGGGTGGCTGCGGCGGCCGCTGCCCGCGCCCCACCGAACCCCCGGCGGCGGCCGCGGCACTCACCCATAGTACGGATGCGGTGCAAACTGCACATGCTCGCGTCTGACAGGCGCTGCCTCGGCCCGGCTTAACTCCTTGCTCGCCCGCCCGCGCCGTCCTCCGGCCCGGCGGGTGCTGCCCACCACCCCGCCGCCGCCGCCGCCGCCGCCGCCTCGCGCAGCTGGAAGCCCAGGTCGCGCTCCGGGCGCCTGCAAGCGCGCCCTGAGCCCGGGTGGAGGCGCAGGTGGCTGCAGTGCAGGGCTTTTTGGGGCCCTCCCGGCACCAAGCCTGCATTGGAGGCGTCTGCAGAAGCACACCCCCGCCCCGCGCCCCTGCCTTCCAACTTGGGGTGATGGGGACTGTGTGCACAACGCCCACTGTGCAGGCCCGGGCAAACCTCAGGGCTAGCCGAGGGCTACAGGCTGCTGCAGACCCACTAAGTGCCCGTGTTAGGTTCCGTGCAGTTCCTCTGTTGAAACAGCTTTCAGGGACCTTTGTATCCTGCCCCCGGTCCCCCCCCCCCCCCCTCGCTTCCCAGGCAGAGAAACTGAGGCCTAAGAAATGGCCTAAGGCAAGGCCTGATCCTCCAAGACTCCTCATTTGCTGTACACTGCCAAGATTACAGAGAAGATGGTCTTTCTGAGGTCCCCCTAGCATCTTCTGTTTTAACGGTGGTGTCATCTGGAAAATCTGAAATAGGAGGGAAGTAGATGGCTAAGGGCCCTGAATTGGGCCTGGCTCATTAGACTGATCCCAGATCCCCCAGAAAGACTGACGTCACTCTTGCATCCTGGTTCCTAAGCATCAGCCAAGAGGACAGGACCACTTTTACCTTTGGGTTGACCACTGGGGATGCCCTTTTTGGCTTTAGGGACCACACCCAGTACTGCTCAGGTTTACTCCTGACTACACTCAGGGATCACTACTGCTGGCAGGCTAAGGGGACCCTATGAGGTGCTGGCAACCTAACCAACTCCACTGGTCCATGGGGTGGGGGTTCCCTTTTGTAAATTACCCCCTTTCTAATTCTCACACAGACTTCTGAGTGCCTAGGTGGACCTGATGTGAGAGGTCTGGGCTGCTTCTTCAGCCTGGAGGGAAGAAGTAACACAGGGGAGAATAATAGGGTTCTTGCATGTACCCCTCTCTGACACAGGCCTTATCTTAGACTGTGGTTTTCAGAAGCACTCAGAGGACCCACAGGGCTTCATCCAACCTTTGATTGCCCAATGGGGCCATAGATCCTCCAGGCATTCCTGTCCACCTGTCGAAAATCCCCCAAAGGCATACCTGCGCTAGGGACAGGTAATGTGTACACAGTGTCCGAAGCCTCTCCCAGACACACAAAGTTCTTGGGCGGACTGTCTGTCCCTCTTTCTGGAAGGAAAACCCTGGGATTCAAAAAGGCAGAGAGAGGAATTCTGTTGGGTTCCTGGAACCCAACATACACAACCAAGTGCTTTCAGTGGCAGGAACTGAGGAATTGTCTCCCCCTCTATATGCTGGGGAGGGAGCCAGGCTATCACCTACCTCAGACGCATATATTCCTCCCCTGCACCCCTGAATCTTATGCTTGTCAATTCTTTGATCCACAGTAGGTTTTCCAGTGAGTCAAGTGTTTTCTTCTCAGGTGAGGCTGGAGAGAGATGGAGTGGGGGCAGGTGTAGAGAGAGATGAGAAAACTGTCAAGAGAGGCAGGGGATGGCCTGTAGACAAGTCTCCCCACTGCAAAGGAGGGCTGTGTCCTTGCCACAAAGTGGGTCTGCTGCGGGGCCTCTGGCTGGCAGCTGACAGGGCTTCCTTTCCAGCTCTGGGAGGCAGCATTGCGCAGAGGAAAAGACCCTGGGCTGGAAAGGCAGATCTGAAGGTCCAGATACTGATCCATTAGGCACAGGAGGTTCAGAGACTAGCTCGCACAACTATTTTAAAATCCACCAAAAATTATATTTCTTTTAAAATCAGAGTCAAAATAAGCTTTGATATCAAAGTAAATGTTTCCCAGTGGAATATTAATATTTTCATATTATACTTTCATATGTTGGCTGCGTGCAAGGCAAACACCCTACCGCTGTGCTATCACTCCATCTTATTATGACATCTTATTATCTCATTCCTTCTTTGGACAAACTGGCAGGCTACCGAATGTAGCCTGCCCACATGGCAGAGTCTGGCAAACTCCCCGTGGCGTACCCAATATGCCAAATACCAGTAACAATGATGGGTCTCATTCTCCTAAAGAGCCTTGAATATAATCTCAGGGCTAGGATGAAGGAGACGTTACTGGGGCCTGCTCGAGGCAATAGACGAATAACAGGATGGTCATGATTTGTGATTCGTGATACTTTCATATATTTTTATATAGAAGTCATAGCCTAGAAACTAAGTCTCCAGATCTGCAATCAGAAATCTGCGAGATTCAGAAAACTATAAGACATGGCCAGTTGCTGCTTTAATCTAGCTTTCCTGTGCACTGAAGTCCAAGAGCCTGTTCTAATTCCTATAGTAGGAATCATTTCTTTCTAAGATCACGATCACGATCATCCTGTTGTTCATTGATATTCTCGAGCAGGTACCAGTAATGTCTCCTTCTTCCTAGCCCTGAGATTTTTAAAAGAGCCATTTCAATGCTCTTTGAGGATTAGGAGAATGAGACCCATCATTGTTATTGGTATTTGGCATATTGAATATGACACGGGAAATTTGCCAGACTCTGCTGTGCGCGCAATTTCTTTCTACAAATATTTAAATTCTTTACTCTTGATTCTTTGGGAAAAACAACTATTTTTTTTGTTTTGTTTTGGGGCCATACCTGGTTATGCTCAGGGCTTACACCTGGTTCTGTGCTCAGGGATCACTCCTGGCAGTGCTTAGGGGACCACTTGGAATGGCAGGGATCAATGCTGGGCCAGTCACATGCAAGGAAAGTACCCCACTTTCTGTACTATCATCTGGTCCAAAAGATAACTATTTTCACCCCCACTTAATAAATGTAGAAATCTAGAGGGGCAGAGAAATAGTACACTGGGTAAGAAGCTTGCCTTGCATTCGACCAATTTGGGTTCAATTCCTGGTATCCCATATAGTTCCCCCAGCATCACCAGGAATGATTCCTGTGTGTAGAGCTAGGAGTAACCCCTGAGCATTGCCAGGTATGACCCCAAAACATAAATAAATAAACAAATGTAGAGATCCCACCTAAGGGTTGTCATATGGTTTGGTCAAGGTCATATCTGCCAGGAAAGGCAGAAAGCAGCTTCAACTTACGTCTTCTGGCATCCATCCAAAGTCTTTTCCAACCATATCTAGATGATTTCAAATAATATTGGTTTGTGTCCAGGACAAAACAGTTGACCTAAAAAGAGCATGCACAGAGGCCGGAAGATGTGGTTTCAAGCACTTGCCTGAGACCAAGTTCAAACCTCAGCCTCAGGCTTTTCAAACTCACTGGCCACACAGGTGGTGATCTTGATCCCCTTTTCCAAGAAAGGACCCAGAAGAGAGTGGCTTGAAATGTGCCATGGTGAAAAGTCATAAAGGGATATACCTTTCAGTACCTGTATTGCAAACTATAATGCCGAGAGAGAGAGAGAGAGAGAGAGAGAGAGAGAGAGAGAGAGAGAAAGAGAGAGAGAGAGAGAGAGAGAGAGAGAGAGAGAGAGGTCTGCCATAGAGACAGGCTGAGGTGGGGGGCATGGTGGGAGGGAAACTGGGGACATTGAAGGTGGGAAATGTACACTGGTGAAGGGATGGGTGTTAAAACATTATATGACTGAAACGTGTCATGAAAACTTTGTAACTACGTATCTCATGGAGATTCAATAAAAATAAATTACCAAAAATAAGAAATAAATAAGTAAAAAGTGCTTTGGGCAAGTATGAAACTTAGTACCACCATATGTACCAAAATGATCATCACAGCCCCATGGTCAGAGATCCTCAAAGAGAGAAAAGGCAATGTGTAGCAATGACTGGGTTCCTGGTTTTTCACCCAAAGAATGTAGGGCTGTGGACTGGGAGGTGGTCCTGGGTGAGGGCGGACACAGTGAAAGCAGATCTAGTGATTCAAGGACAGGATCAAGGTTGGAACTGCAAAACACACCCAACCCACTGCACTAACATAGCAAAACATGCCAAGTCCACCTTTGCTGCCTTGTCTTATCAAGGAAACCTGAATTTAAACTCAGCCTCCGTATCCTAGCTGAACGGCATAGGTCATTTTATATATTTACTCTTTCCAAGTCTACTCTTTTCATTGGCAAAATGGAGGTGGGAATAATCTGGAACTTCATGACTATTTTTGTCTGTCTGTTTGTTTTTTGGGGGGTACCTCCTAAACAGTGCTCAGCGGGCTTTGGGGTCACTTTCTGTGTCCTCAGCTGACTGGATCAGGTTGTTCAATGCTGAGACCTCAGGATGTGCGACTGTTTGGGCCCCGTGGTGTCAGGGACCGTCAGAACCACTCCTAGAGACACACAGTGAGTTTCTAGGGCTCCACCTGCTAGTACTTTGTGGGGGCTGGGAGGGGGGAGGATGTGTACAGAGGGAGAAGAGGCTGAGGTATTAGAAACTCAACCAGGACTGAGCACATACAAAGGAAGAGTCCTACCTTAACCCTCCCACCAGCCCACCCCGCACCGGCCCTGTGGTTTCTCCCCTTCCCTGTCCCATAGTTGTTTTGCAGGAGGTTGTTTCTGTTTATTTTTGGGTCATACCCAGTGGTGCTCAATATGCACTCCAGCCCTGTGGGCAATCACACCCCCCACCCCCAATCCTGCATAGACAGGAAGAGGGGACATGTT